AAGTTGGAATTGCATGACAGCAGAGAAAATAGTTGCCAGGAATCAGCCGGTTATTCAGTCCCTCCAAGGCTTCTCAGGAAGGAAGATGGATCTCTCCACGGTGATGCTGACATTTGTGATCTGCTTCCTGCTTTCCCTGGTGGTGCTCATTTATCGTGATGTCCGAAGAACAGATATCCCTGCAGGAATCGATGGACCTTTCAAACTCTTCCTAATTTCCATTATGTTACACTCATCCTTGCGTATGGTAAGTTGGATGGACTTTGAACCTGGAGTTTCTGTGGGGCAGCTCAGTCGCTAGAGCATGAGACTCTTAATCTCAGGGTTATCTGCTCGAGCCCCACGTTGGGCAAAATATTTCTGCATTGCAGGGGGTTGGACTAGATGGCCCTTGTGGTCCCTTCCAGTTCTACAAATTCTATGATTCTGCTATTTTTTTAGTTGTATGGGGGCTGGCCAGCCAGGAATGGTTCAAACAGGCAACATGTTTTAGGAGGTGCAACCCCACCCACCCCATCATAGAAAAACGGAATTGTAGAGTTGGAAGGGACCACAAACCCAAGCACCACTCTGCAAGGCAGGAATCTGTCACCAAATGTGGAACTCGAACCCAGGACCCTAGGATTAAGAATCTCATGCTCTATCTACTGAGCTAGCCAGCCTGAAGGATTCATGTATTATAAATAGAGATCTGTGCAAAAAACCCTCTCCCAAATTTCCAGTTCTCTCTCCTCCACAGTTCAAATACAGTGTTGATCATCAATGTGACTTCTGGAGGATGCTTTGTGCTACGACTTCTAGCATCCCCAGCTAGCAGGACCATGCTGGCAAAGACTGTCCCACGCGGTGGTACAGCGTGGGTTGCGTGCATCTGGGGCCATGTGTGGGGTGAGGTGGGGACTATGGAGCTGCCTAACAGTGTCCGCATCACCCAAGAGATCACAGCCTCAGAAACAAGAGAAGAAGATTCTCTCTGCTATCTGGAAAGTCACACAGAGAAGCCATTTTCAACAGAGCCCAGTGACAGAAGTATGCAGCTGTATTTAGGCAGCACTGGGTGTTGAAATTTTGCACCCAGGGCAACCGCACCTGTGGCCTCACCCCACGTTAAGCCACTAGTCATGCAGTTCTATTTTGGGGCTCATCCACCTTTCTGCTTGCCCATTGCCTAGAAAGCAGTCATTTCCCACTTTCCCCACACTATCCAAAGGTTTTGGTGGCCCGGTGGAATGCGGAGTTAACCAGGGCTATTGACTGTCTGGCTCCGAAGCGCCCTCTCCGATTGCATGGAGCCGGACAGCCCCGTGGTTTTCCCAGGAGCTGAGGGTGATGAAACAATCATTGAGACGGCTAGAGCGCCGGTGGCGGAAAACTCATTCTGAATCAGACCGGATACGGGCTAGAGCTCAACGTCGAGCCTACCAAGTGGCGATAGCGACGGCGAAGAAGGCCTTCTTTGCTGCCTCCATTGCATCTGCAGAAAACAGCAGCAGGAGACTTTTTCAGGTGGTTCGCAATCTCTCGGAACCACCTGTACCACCGGGGCCTGGTAGGGACCCCAAGATCTCCTGCAATGCTTTTGCAAAAATTTTTGCAGATAAAGTCACTCAGATTCAGAAGGAGGTAGACTCCACCGTGGGAGCAGGGCCAGGGTGGGAGAGTGCTGGAGTTCTGTCTGGTCCTGTTACATGGGATCAATTCCAATCTGTTACCTCCGAGGATGTGGACAGGCTGCTTGGACAAGTGAAACCGACCACCTGTCTCCTTGATCCTTGCCCATCCTGGCTGATAAAACCAAGCCGGGAAAGGCTGGGCGATGGGCTCTGCGGGGTGGTGAATGCTTCCCTCTGTGAGGGAGCCTTCCCAGACCGGCTGAAAGAGGCGGTCATTAAACCGCTTCTTAAAAAAACATATTTAGACCTGGCCAATTTGGCCAACTATTGCCCAGTCTCAAATCTACCATTCTTGGGCAAGGTGATTGAGTGGGTGGTTGCCGAACAACTCCAAGCACGCCTGGAGGATGCGGACCATTTGGATCCCTTCCAATCAGGATTCAGGCCTCACCATGGGACTGAAACTGCCTTGGTCGCACTGGTTGATGATCTCCAGTGGGCTAGGGACAAAGGTGAGAGCTGTTTCCTAGTTCTGCTGGATCTCCCAGCGGCCTTTGACACCATCGACCATAACATCCTTCTGGACTGTCTAGAGGGGCTGGGAGCTGGGGGCACTGTTATACGGTGGTTCCGCTCCTTTCTCCTGGGCCGTGTCCAGAAAGTGGGGGGGGGATGAGTGTTCAGACCCCTGGGCTCTCACTTGTGGGGTGCCTCAGGGTTCTGTCCTCTCCCCCATGCTTTTTAATATCTATATGAAGCCGCTGGGAGAGATCATCAGGGGGTTTGGACTGGGTGTTCATCAGTATGCAGATGACACCCAGCTCTACCTCTCCTTTAAATCAGAACCAGTGAAGGCGGTGAAGGTCCTGTCTGAGTGCCTGGAGGCAGTTGGAGGATGGATGGCGGCTAACAGATTGAGGTTGAATCCTGACAAGACAGAAGTACTGTTTTGGGGGGACAGGGGGCGGGTGGGTGTGGGGGATTCCCTGGTCCTGAATGGGGTAACTGTGCCCCTGAAGGACCAGGTGCGCAGCCTAGGAGTCATTTTGGACTCACAGCTGTCCATGGAGGCACAGGTTAACTCTGTGTCCAGGGCAGCTGTCTACCAGCTCCACCTGGTGCGCAGGCTAAGACCCTACCTGCCCGCAGACTGTCTTGCCAGAGTGGTGCATGCTCTAGTTATCTCCCTCTTGGACTACTGCAACGCGCTCTAGGTGGGGCTACCTTTGAAGGTGACCCGGAAACTGCAATTAATCCAGAATGCGGCAGCTAGACTGGTGACTGGGAGTGGCCACCGGGACCACATAACACCGGTTCTGAGAGATCTGCATTGGCTCCCAGTACGTTTCCGAGCACAATTCAAAGTATTGGTGCTGACCTTTAAAGCCCTAAATGGCCTCAGTCCTGTATACCTGAAGGAGCGTCTCCACTCCCATCATTCAGCCCGGACACTGAGATCCAGCGCCGAGGGCCTTCTGGCGGTTCCCTCATTGCGAGAAGTGAGGCTACAGGGAACCAGACAGAGGGCCTTCTCGGTAGTGGCGCCCGCCCTGTGGAACGCCCTCCCATCAGGTGTCAAAGAGATAAACAATTACCTGACATTCAGAAGACATCTTAAGGCAGCCCTGTTCAGGGAAGTTTTTAATATGTAACGCTGTACTGTTTTTAACGCTTGATTGGGAGCCGCCCAGAGTGGCTGGGGAAACTCAGCCAGATGGGTGGGGTATAAATAATATATTATTATTATTATTATTATTATTATTATTATTATTATTATTTCCCCCAGAAAACCTGAATGCTATTCCAATTAAGACATAAAGATTGGGTTTCTCTGGGGTGAGGGAGTGCCAGGGCAAATGCCCTTTGTTTGCTGAAAGCAGCTGTGCTCAGTGTCGTAGCCCAGGGGGTTGTGCCTCCTGGTGGACTGGGCAGCTGGGGATGAGTTGCGCACTGGGGGCCCCCTTTGCCCTTGGGCACTTTCCCATATTACATCACAGGTCAAAAACCCTTGAGAAGAGTGCAGAGCATGACCAGTGAAGGAGGAGAGGCTGAGAGACGGGGAAATGGCCTAGGAAGAGATCTTGAGGGCCAGAAAGAGATTTAGAGGACTGCATTAAGCCCCTGAGCCAATGGATTTCCACTGGACTGAGTAACTCCAATAAGACAGCAACAACAACAACAACACCCCACAGCAACAAATGCATGCCTGTATGATTTAATGTCACCATTAAAATGATGGTTCAGTCAGTAAAGCATGAGACTCTTAATCTCAGGGTCCTGAGTTTCAGCCCCATGTTGGGCAAAAGTGATCCTCATGGTCCTTTCCAACTCTATGATTCCAAACTCCTAACTTAAATGGATTGAAGTGAACTCAGCAAGCAAAATAGTGGGAAGGGTTCTGCTTCGTCCACAAGTGTGGTCCTTTTGGACTAAAATGTGGACATCTCCCCCTCCCACCCAATACTTAATAGGCTTAACAAGTGGGTCTGATGCTGTTATGTGTTATGGCAGCCACCCTGCTTCTAAGCTAGATTTAAACAAACATGCATGCATGAATAAGTGGGAAATAGTATTGCCAGATCAAAATCTCAAAGAAAATGTTCACAATAAGGGTGAACAGTCTACATAACAAGGCAATCACAGTCCTTTGGAAGATGGGCTATTTATGGCAGAAACTGGAGGTAGGTTTCCAACCATTTCCCTCTTTAAAGATCTAAGGCTTTTAAATCTGCATAAGGCAGATATCCAACAGGTGCAACTATTCCATTACTGTATTGGAAAAATCAAGACCAATTGAATTCCCTGCTTGTTATACCATTGTTACAAGAAACCGGGGTGCTGAGCGAGAGGATGTGGCAGCCCCCTTTCCGCATGATAGCAGCTTTACGCCTCCAACACCTATGCCAATGAGAATGTCAACAGGTGCAGCCTTCCACCCTGCAATTTAGGCAGGGGGAAGCGTGCAAAAGTGGGGTGTCTACCTGTTAAAACCACAGTAACCAGCAAGAGAAGAAGGTGGGTTTGGTGACGGGGCTTGTGCACAGCAAGGGAGGGAGGCATGGGGTGTGTGTCTTGATTTTTCTAGCTTAGGTTTTAGTTTGATGATCCCATGCCTCCGCTAAAATCACCGGGCTTCCTTTCAGTAAAGGGGGTTCAGGTTTGCTACCACTCGCTCACTCAAGCGCTGCTGCTTCCAAGTAAGGACCGTAGCTTTGAAGCCCGTTCCTCTGCGCGCACGAACTCGGGACAACGGTTCTTGCTTCCGAGTTAGGGTCCTCCTCCTACCCTCTCTGCCTAGCAACTTCCCCTGTGGTTTTCCCTCCCACGGATCTCCCCCTTGTGCAAGTGAATCAGCAGCCGGGGGTGGGAAGGAGGTTCCCTCCATCC